AATGGATACTGATCTCTGCTGTCCTGGGCTTGAAGCCTTGAGCAGATTGTAACAGTGTGCTGAGGGTCTGCTCAGATAGCTGTTCCCAGAGACCAGCAGTTGTTTATCTTATTCTTTAGACAAAACCATAACTATGACCACAGCACCAGTTTTAATACAAACACTTAATGCATGCCACAACTGGGCAATGATTGTGGTGTGGCTGTAAATCACTAATTTGTTTTTCTGTCTAAACCTAGCACAAACATTTATTTTTATTTTTATTTTTTCCCCAAAAGGAAGTAACTCAAAGAAGAAGAGATGGAGTTGCCAGGTTGCCCAGTTGTGTGCTGTGACACCCCCCAGCCTGTTCCATGAAGCCCACACAGCACCACTCCACCAGAGCCTAGGGAGGGAAACACAGCACTTCAGATGTGGCTCAAGCACCAGCCAGGATGGCATGGGCTGTTTCTCTGCATGCTCCACAGCTGCAAGAGTGCTGAAACAGAATTCTTCTGTGTCTTCATAGCCATGGAACTATTATGGCCCTCCAAGTTGGCTCTCCAGTAAAAAGTAAACCAATATCTTCTGTTCTCTCTCTTTATTTGTTCACCCTGACTAGGGCTTGAATTTTTTTTTTAGTTTAACATCTCTGCAAATAGTCATTTAATTAACATCTGCCATTTGCTTTTCACTTTCTCATTAATTTTCATTAAACATTCAGAGGTAGAGGTGTGTCTGTGTGATTTCAGAGATGACTACACCTAGAAAACAATGAAGCCTGATTCTTGCAGCGGGGAATAATTTTTTTAAAGATATCACAGTGAACAAAAGTACCTCACAATCTGAGATGAACTGAAGGACACCAACCCTGGACTTGAATTATGAATGTTGATGTTAGGATTAATCTGTAGCAACAAGGAGAGCAGGCACTGTACTATTAAAGGCACATTTCTCTTCTAGAGCTCTGCAGTAAATACCCTGATAATGTTTTTGCTGTTTGTTCTGCCCGCCCACTCTGTGCACTTTCCTCTCTTTGGCAGGCACTTGCACGTGGCCCTCGTTGTTTTCCCAACATCATCCCGTTGCGAAGCATTAAAGTGCAGTTGATCCTGGTGCTGAAAACACACAGCACAGTAAAGGGAGATATACTTCAAAATAATGTAAAAAGACTCATGTCTGTGATGTCTGTGTTGCAGCGGCCTGTGTTGCTGACCCCTCTGGTCACCGTAGCCTTCTCTGTGCACTTGCAGATGACATGCTCCATTTGGAGGGAGGAGTGCAGGATGCTTTCCATGTACTGTAAGAACCGTCTGTCTTGGGATTTCTGTGAATCTCAGAGATGAGAGGATGTAGCACAGCAAAATAAAGTTTCAGCATTGCTGTCTCCTTGAGAGCAATATTAACCTTAATACTTATACTCTGAAATAAAACTTGTTACACCCATAGAAAAAATGCAGCCATTAGTAGAGCTTGAAGCACATGTTTGCAGTGCACCTGAGTTGAAAATTCTCCAGTCAAAGCCAAATTTTTCTTCTGGATACTGTTGAATCCGCTGATATCATGGGTCCAGTGTGAATATCATAGGCGCTGAGGTCAATTCCAAACATCTGCCCCAATTCATCCATTTCTATTCAGCTCAATACTTCTCAGCACAAGTCATCCTCTGCCTTATCGAGCCACCACAAAACTTCACTCTCAGCCTTGGCATTAGCATTCAGGTTCTCACAGGGCTCTTGTGCCAGTGAGGAGTGGTGAATGTTGCTGCAAGATTTTCTTCTTCACTGTTATGGTTTATTTTAAATTCAACAAATTCAAAAACACACCATGCTTTGTAGTGGAAGGAGAGAGTTTCACGTATCCTTTTACAGTAATGGCAAAGTGAAGGCAGCAAGTACTATCCACATCCTCTTTCACAATATTTACAAAGTAATTGATCCAGACAGTAAAGGGACAACTCCTCTCTATCAGAAAACAGAAGAGAGAGGTTCTTGCACAGTTCTCGAGTAAACAAATATTTTTCTGAGGACAGAATCCTGAAGTCACAGGCAACTCGGCTCATTTCTTGCCACAACCAAGAGGGGAGGGAAGGCTACAGGGGCTTTCTGTTCTAATAGTGTCCTGTAAACACTGATCCTTTAATCAATCAAGCAGTGGAGTCATCGTCCCTGGAGGTGTTAAGAGCCATGTAGATGTGGCACTGAAGGACATGGGTTAGTGGGCATGGTGCAGATGGGTCCATGGTAGGACCGGATGAACTTAGTAGTCTTTCCAACCTTAATGATTCTATGATTCCGTGATTCCGTGATTATTCAATTTGCATGTCAGAAAGGAACCCTCATGGCAAATCAGGTCATATCTGCCTGATCTTCCTTCACCAAGATATAAGCTCTGTGCTTTGTGTATGGCAGCACATTTGTTTCATGCTCATTTTGTTTAAATTAGCCTTTTAATTTTTGTGCTGTGGAGTCATTCTCAAGATGGACATGACCTCAGTCTTTCATTATTTAATCCCTTTGTGGGATGATGTACAGCTCTTGCACGCTGATCATCACTTTTGGAAAAGGACCAACTTCAGGAGTTCCCTGACTGGATGAGGGGGAAAAGGAAGAAAGAACTGTTGTTATTACTTTTTAGGGACTGAATTGTAGCTTTGCTTTATTCAGATTGGAGAAACTCCAAATAATTTCTGCCAGCATAAATAATGATGCCTGAATGTTATGCTGTTGCAAATGCAAACAGCGGAATGGTAAATTACTTAATAGTTTGCCTGAGGTGTAATTTCTTACACAGTGAGGTGTTGCCCTCTTAAAAGAAGGCAGAAGGATGACATTTTTTCAGGTGAAACAGGTTGGATTAAAATGATTGCAGTACTCTCAGCTTGCCCCATCACTGTTTATCACTGGTGAAATGATGCTGTGCATCTGTGATTCGTTGTGATTCTCTTCAGGGCTGTGGGCAGAAAGTGCTAGTGTAAGTTCCCAATGAAACCATGTCTAAAAAGCAGTCTGAAAGCATAATTTTGACCCTTGTGTTTAAAGCTTATTTTCCTGTCAGAGTTGGAAGCTGAGCAAGTGAAGTAATGAGGGCAACAGAAGATGCTGGATAAGGCTGACAACGGCCAGCAGACGAAAGCTGCCTGTTGGGGCAGGCCTGACTTGACAACCCAGCCTACAACTCAAAGCAGGCCACTGCCTCGAGCAGAAGAAAGGGCCCAGCCCTGTTGCCTGCTCTGCCTACGTGTGAGACCTAGAAAGCCAGTGCTTGGCTGTAGCCAAGGCAGGCTTTGGAGCACAAGGACTGGGTTGGGACCAATCATGCTCTGCAGCAGTCATCATTGCTCCCGAATCTCCCATGGGCCTCATGGTAGCTGCCCAGCCTCCTGGCCCTCCACCCAAGTATTGTTCCCTCCTTCTCTTCCATCCCCCGGGTGGGGGCAGCCTGTCATTCCCCAGCCTTGCAGCTTTATTCAGCTGTGCTGAGTCCAATCATGGCGGTTTAAAATACTTTACTCATTGTCAAAGATGTTATGAAAGCTTAAGGGACTCCTGAGTCCCTACCCTCCACCCTTCACGTAGTCCTACAGACCTGCTGGAACTTGGGGTGAGGAGCTGGCCTAAGGTTCAACAAAAATGCAAAACAAACAATTGCTGACTGCATAGTCTCAATGGCTGTGTCTGAGTGATGGAGGCAGAAGGCATCAGGCTGCTGCTCCTGCTGCTGAAGGTAACACTGGACAAGCCTGGCCTGCAGCAAGATAGGAGCTCCCATCACCTGCACAGCCTGATGGTGGCACCAGGCCTCCCGCACGCTGCTCAAGCACAGCACAGAGATGGGCTCTGCCTCTAAACCTCACACGACAATGTTGGTAGGATCACTTCAGAAAAAAACAGGATCTGGTGAGGACAGAGGGCTTCGTTGTGATCTGCAGAGCAGGGGAACCTGCCACTGGCTGCCTGGAAAGGGCACGTGGCCCAGTCAGGGTGCCTGGAGCAGACTGAAATGCAAGTGAATTCCAATAACCATCACTCCCTGCTCAGCAAATAATTTATCTTATGGCTTACTAGGTGTCACTTGTCTAAAAAGAGAATTTCTGAAGTAGTTTTTAAATGTATGTTATTTCTTACCCATATAGGTTAGTTTAGAAGATGTTTTCCTGGTGTTGTGATGCTTGCTGCAGGATGAAGGGCAGAAACTGTCTTATAGATACAAGCTCCCTGACACCAAAAGATCAATGGGTTTCAAAAAGAATTTAGACTTCACTGGCTCTTATGGCATTCTGAGCTTAATAAAACTGGGCACATGAGGAAAAAAAGACCCTTGGGAAGTTACTGCTTTTCTGCTTGCTCCATGAGCTCTTGCCATCTCTTCTGAAGTAGCCAAGGCAGAAGGTGCAGCGTTGGATGAACTTATTCAGCTTATTTCTGCTTATTCAAGACAAAACCTGGAAATCAGGGAGAAGTCAAAGAAGCTCATGGCATAGGCAGATGGCAAGGAGAGGGTACCTGCACTGGGCCAGTCTGGATGAGCCACTGGCTGCACATAGGATCGCCAATAGCATCACCACAGTCACCTCGAGCGGGACAGCAGGGCCACGCGTGGAAGCAGACCCCCACACCTCCCAGGTATGCACCGCCAACTTCCCACGCCTGTGTCTGCCCCACTCGAAGGGGAGCCCCGCGCCCAAGGTTCCGGGGCAGCCATCCTCACGGGGCCCCTCTCCCAGCCGGTCCCCGGGGTTCCCCCTCGGAAAGGGGGAGCGGGGCCCCCCGTTGATGGCGACCGGCGCCACGCGGGGCCGGCGTCCGTCCCTCCGCCTTGGTGCTGCCGCGCTCCCCCTCGGCCGGGGAGAGGGGAGCGGCGGGGGGCGGGCGGCGAGCGGGGCCGGCCGGGTCCGGCCGGGCGGGGGTGGAGGGAGCGGCGCCGGGGCCGGAGGGGCGCGGAGCCACCGCGGAGGGCGGAAACAGGGTGGGGGGGATTTGCGTCAGTGAGGGAGCGGGCAGAGCGGCGGGGCGGGCGGACAGACGGACGGAGGGAGCCGGCGGAGAGGGATTCGTCCCATGGAGCTGTGCCCGGGGCACGCTGCGCCCTCGGGCTGGGCGCTGCCGCTGCTCCTCGCCTTGGGCGCCGGGCTCAGCCACGCCACTCCGCACCTGCGCTACTCCCGCCCGGGCTCCCGCAGCAAGTGAGTACCCGCGGGGCAGCGCCGTGCCCGGGCGGGGTGGTCGCACAGCTTGGGGGGCCGCTGCCGGCGGTGGGGTGAGCCGAGGCGGGCTGGGCTGGGCTGGGTTGGGGTGCCGGGACGTGCGGGGCTCCTCGCGCCTCTACCGCTGCCCGGCGCTGACGCCTCGTGTCTCTTCTGCCCGCAGGAACTGGTGTGCGTACATCGTGAACAAGAACGTCAGCTGCTCGGTGCTGGACGGGACCGAGAGCTACGTCCAGGCCCAGTACAAGTGCGCCTGGAACGAGTTTCCCTGCCGACCGACCCCGGTGTAAGTAGCCGAGGAGGAGGCGGCGTTGGGAGGGGAAGCGCTCAGTTGTACGAAGTCCTTCTGAAGCCTAAGCACGGTTCTGGCGGCACGGAGCTGCGATGGCCGTGCTCGGGCTGCACCCCAAAGCGAACACAGCCCGGGCGAGACGGCCGTCTTGCTCCAGCCTGCGGTCCCCGAGCACGCCCCGAAGCCAGCGCTCTATTTTATTGCAAACATAAGGCCGCTGGAACTAATTAGAGCCACATTGAATCTGTTGCTGCGTTCGCTGTGCGAACTGACCGGGATGGGGGAGCTGTGCTGGCACGCCGCGCCGCGCTGCCTGCCCGGACCCGCGGGCAGCTGCCACGGGCCCGGGCTGGAGCCCAGCACCTGCTGGCTGCACACCTGTGTGCTGCTCCGGGTGTACCGGGCTGTGTGCTGAACACGGAGGGCCTGGGGCTGCTCTGCGCAGTTGGATCAGTGAGTAACAGCAAGGGAGAGCCAGGAGTGTGAGCCAGTGTGTTTGCAGCTCCTCCACCAGTTGCCCGTCCAGCAAGGAGCGCAGCCAACGCAGAGATTTGTGCTGGGTGTGACGCAAAGTTGCTTGTTTGGTTTAGCTTCATGTGATCGTGGAAAAGGGTGACAAAGCTGTGAAGGGTCTGGAGCAGCTGAGGGAGCTGGGGTGATTCAGTCAGGTGAAGAAGAGGCTTAGCAGTGACCTTACTGCTCTCTACAACTGCCTCAAAGGAGGTTGTGGCAAGGTGGAAGTTGACCTCTTCTCCCAGGTAACAGCAATAGGAGAAGAGGGTATGGGAGATGCATCAGGGGAGGTCCTGGTTGGATATTAGAGAAAATTTCTTCTCGGGAACAGTGATCAGGCACAGGTTGCCCAGGGACGTGGTGGAGTCACCACCACTGGAGGTGTTCATGAAGGGGGTAGATGTGGCCCTGAGGGATGTGGTTAGTGAGTATGGTGAGAATGGGCTGATGGTTGGACATGATCTTAGAGGTCTTTTCCAAATTTAATGATTCTGTGATTAACTGCGAGCACACAGCATGCAGGGTGAGCATCACTTAGAGCTCAGCCTGCTGTGTTGAGGCTGTGTAGTCTCACAGGTGGAGCAGGAAGTGGAGACAGCTGCACTGCTCTGTGGCTAATCACTAGCAAATTCCTTTCCTCAGTTTCCCAGTGGAACAGCAGCAGTACTTGCACTTCTTATTGAAAACCTGTACCTGATGAGTGCCCTGTGGAACTATCCCACCTTCTCCAGAAGTCATTGGGAAGACTCCCAGATTTTGGGGGGCTCAGGCTTACACTTGGACTGAGCTGATGGCAAGGATTCTTTTAGGATAACTAACTGTTTTTGATTTTGACGTGTGGGTAACTGGTTTTAATTTGACATGAGAAAATGAGGCCATGACTGATACTGCTTGGTGCCTGGTGCTACTGGAGTGAGCTGTGTACGATGATGGCACTGCCTTCCTGGGGCCTGGGACAATAGATGTTGGGCATTTGGCATTCGAATGCACTGCTTTTTGTTTGTTTGTTTGTTTAGAAAAATAGCTTTTCTCTTTTGCGATATACAAATACAGGAATTTGAGGCAAATAACAAAGGCAGCAGGCAGCCAAGTCACACTGTCTTGTGTAATTTCCCTTGTTTCTCTCTGGAGTATTGAACTGGCCACTTTGGACTTCTGATTGAGGCTGTGTGATGGAGCGTACACTCCGTTGCACAGTCTCAGTAGTGGAGCTGTGGAGGAGTGAGGAAGGGTTACAGCTGAGCTCTGTGAACACATAAATCAGCAATTGTGGAAGTAAGGAATTTCAGAGGTGGTGAATTAGCATTTTCTTGGACCATCTGCTAGTAGATGATGAAGAAAGCGCAAAGGCATTGCTTCTAGCTTAGGAAATTCCTGAACCACAAACTGGTTGAACTGGTGGCAGCTTTGGCAGGAGTCAGAAGGGGAAGCCCTGCTCCAGTTGGGGACCGAACCGGATGACCTTCAGAAGTCACATCCCCTTCCAAATTACACTGTAGTTCTAAGAAATTGCACTGCCTGTCCTTCAGCTTTTCCTACGTGTCAAGAAATGGCTGCTGTCAGAGATACAAATAGTGGCTAAAGAGACGTTTGTGCTTGCCTGCTGTGGCCAATCTCATGGAACTTTTCTGTTCTTTGAGAATGGAATTAAATACTTGTGTAAGCCTTTGTTTCCTGAATTTGACTTTTTGGTGAACGTAAGTGTAGTTTTATTCATACCCTGAGTAGCAACTGCTATCTAATTCCTCATTCTTAACATAAAATATCCTAAGTACCTATTGTAGCAGCAGCCAGTGAACACGGAAAGCAGCTGGAATGTCCTTTAAGCAGATCCTATCAAAGTCTTGAAATTTTATTGTGTACAAAATGATCTTCTCATAGGCAGTGACTTATTTTTCTGTCTGTTGCTGGTATGCTTGTTTTCTTAGCAGCAGAGGAAGAAAATAACTAATCCAATGTGTTTGAAATACATTGTTCAAATCCTGCACACCACTGTGCCCAGGAATAACTTCCTTCAGGTGGAAAGTATTGTTTAATTGAGAAGGAATAGTGGTTTGCATAACAAAATGTGTTTATATATGTTTGCTAGCTCAGTGCCTAGCTAGCAAATAGAATAGGACAGGAAAAAGCTATAAAAGAAACAAAGAAATGGCTGTGAGGATTTTTCTGGAGTTATTCTCTTTTTTTTCCTTTATATGTGGGCATAGAGAAGTTAAAAATTAACTAAATAGTAGAGATTCATTGGAATAAACAACAGTCCCTGTGTAGTCTCCTTCAGATACTCTTGGTTTATCTGAGACCTCATTCTGTTACAGACATTGGGTACAGGGAGATCCGAATCAAACAAAGAATTTGACTGTATCAAAGATGTATGGGTTTTATTAGTAGTTGGGCTGGGTTGCTTTTTGGTCACTCAGTGGATTAGTTGAAGAGCCCTTCTGGTGTTTCAGCACAGCCTTGGTTATGCACAGCAAGTACTTAAATAGTTCTGTGAATTTAAGGCACTGTGATTATTTCACTGCCTTAAGCATACAGTGTGCTCCTGAGTTCCAAGTGTTCTTCATATATGGGAGTGTTAGGTGTTGCAGATATGAATTATAGTCATCAGACTTTTTGTTTCAGTACAAATAGAAAGCTTTTGTGATTAAGCCAAAAAGTTACATACATGCATGAGCCCTTTATGTCCATTCAAATATCAGTCTACTCCTAAAATGTTAAGTAGAAACTCAGGAAATAATTAGATTTCATTGTTCAAATGTTTTATAGATACTTGGGCTAAGTAATATGTTTCCTTACTGAACAGTTAGGGGATACTTTGGTCGATTAAGGTGTCAGGGATAAATGTGAGTTAGTGTGGCCGCCTAAGAGATAGGAAGAGGGGGAGTACAAAGAAGCAGAATTGCCCTTTGAAGTATGTTCTCTTTGAAGTTTGGGGACTCCTGATTTATTTTATTTAGAAGTGTGACTGGTGAAGGAGAGAGAAACTTTGTTATTAATGGGTCACAGGCATGAAGGATACTTATATGAAAATATTAGTCTTTTTACGCACCAAAGAGAACTTTTATGTTTGAAATTTAGCATTGTTTCATTAAATAACCGACCTCTCCCCACTTACTGTGCTGCAAATTTCCTTTCCTGGCTTTCTCCTGAGTCGTTTAGAAATTTAATTAGCTGAAAAGCAAATTGTACAATCTCCTTAACTAGATTCTGCAAACTCTTGAGGGCTGTGGATCTGCTGTAATGCCCTGTGTGTAGAGGGCTGGAGGAGCAGGGAGCCTGGGCAGGACTTTAAGGGACATGATTAGTGGTCAGTATCAGTGGTAGGTGGACAGTTGGACTACATGTCTTAGATGTCTTTTCCAACCTTAATGATTCTCTGATTCTGACCAGATTCTGACTGTTGGACATCCTCTGGTCAATGTAGCTGCTTCAGTGTGGAATGTTTTTATAGGATTGACAATACCTTAGATGCTCCAGCTTCTGGTCCAGCATTTTGGGGCAAATTTGCTTTCACTAATAAAGTTAAATTTATAATAAGCCAGCCTGTGAGGTGAACAAGTGAGTGCTTTCTGGTTTTTCATTGTTGCTCCAGAACTGGCAAGCAGGATGTCCCTGCCCATAGAGAGCTGGAGAGTATGAGGCAGTAAATCAAACAGAAAAACTTAGACTGGGAGGAACCCCTGGAGATCACGTAATTGCCCCCGTGGCCCCCAGCTAACAGCAGAGCTAGCTTTAAAGTTGTCATGTTGCCCAGGAACTTGAAGAAAGGATGTTTATCAGATCCCCCAATTCAGATAACAGTCCCCATTAATTCTGTGCATGTGCACATAGATAAGTGTGTGCTCAAGTGAATAATGAGTCAGGTCACCTGTCTTTAGCTTGTGGGGAGTGAATTTCCTGATTTAGTGTGAGCGTCTTATCTTAACACTAATGATCAACATGTAATAAGCAACCCAATTACTCCAGTAGGTTGCACATACTTAGAAAACTGCCAAGAAAGTTATAAATGAATCAATAGCTAAATTAGCAAACCTTTCCAAATCTCTCATTGAGCAATATTTTCCAACTTCTTGTATTAAATAACCTTAAACAAGCCTGCTCCCAAAGCAAAGTTCAATCGCTGCCAAGGGGCAGACTTAAGGCAAAAAGACTGAAGTAACTTTAGAGACTGTTGCTGCTGGTTTTCTGTAATCGTAAATGTCAGGATAGATGACTATACTGATTAGTTACACTCGGCTTTAAATAACCAATATACAGCACTTATTAATAAAAATATTTTGAGAAGTGGAAATTTTCCTGCTGGCACACAGGATGTCAGACTTCCAGCTCGGTTCAGATGGCTGTATTGATTTATCGTTTTCTGGCAACCTCAAAGCGTCCTGGGTGGAGCACACCAGTCCTCGTCTAGGAACATGTAGTAAATCCACATGTAGTTTTCAATTCTTGAACAGTCCCAGTGTTGCTTTCTCTGAGAACGCTCA